CGGTCCCCTTGCCGCGCACTCACCCCTGCACTGAGGCCCCCAAAGACGTCCCTGACGTCCCTGACGTCCCTGACGGGTGCCTTGCGGCGTCTTCGGGCCGAGCGGGTGTAGATGTACAGCCGGCGGCGCACGGCGGCCGCCTGGGTCTGCGTGAGGGTGGACAGGAGCCCGCGCGGATGGCTGCCCGCGCCCCGGCCGCCGAGGAGCTCCCACAGGCCCGTGTCCCGCAGCCACTGGGCTTCCGTTTCGCCTTCTGCCAACAGAGGGAGACCACCCGGCCCTGTGACCAACACACCCAGCTGCACGCGCGGCCGCAGCGCCACCCGCAGCCACCTGCGGAAACGCACATTCGCGTGGGCGCAAGAAACAGCCACACCTCTGATCGTAAGGCCCACGAACGCCAACCACACTCCTCAATGGGGAGACGATTTCACGAAATATCTGAGACTCTGGGGGCCGTGGACGGCATTAACCAGTATCGGGCTTTACACCTGTAAAATCGTATCCTCTTGGAAAAAGCAGGCTGAGGAAGGGCGCCTGCGTGTCCGACTCTGGAACGCAGCAGTGCACGCGCCGCCCCTCCCGAGTGTGACAGGGACCGCCACAGGTGACCCGCGCCCAGCCTGGAGACCCCTTGGAAAGCCTCCCTCTATTCCAGACCTTGTCTGCGTCGGAATCATCCCCTCAACTGTGCTTTGTAAGAAACTGTCACAGTCCTGCAGCAAACCCGTTCATCCAAATGTCCTGAGCGCACCTCTGCATCAGGGGGTTTGCATTCCCCACTGGAGAGGCTGTGGCAGACCGTCAGGCCCGCGCGACCGCACGTGGCCGCCGTGGGCTGGCGCAGCTGACTTACGCGCCAAACCAGGGTTTCTGTGTCAGCGCCGCTTTATTCCCTCGTTCACTGAACAAGATCGGGGGGCGCCTCCCTTGTGCCCAGCAGCCCCGCCGGGCGCCTCACCCTCTAGTGGCCGGCCTTCGCCCACGCCGTCCTCTTCTCTCGGCTCGTCCCTCTGCTGGATCCTCTCCACCTCCATCCAGAAGCCGTCCATGGACAAGCTCTCCTCCGAGGACAGCCAGGTGGGGGAGCCCCGGGCAGGGCGTGCCCGCGGGGGGTCCTGAGGGGGCTCCGGGCCTGAGGAGGGGCCCGAGCTGCAGCAAGCGGGAGGGGGGAGAAGTCAGGCAGAGCTCTGCTCAGGGCGGGCTTTGTCCTGAGGCTGTGTGGTTCTCCAGAAACCTGCCTGGGGCTTCTGGGAGCTGGGCGAGCTCCCTGAGCACACTTCTCAGGGGTGACAGACACGTGGCCAGTCTCAGCAGATTGACCAGTTTATCCATCGCCCCCAGGATCACGTGGAAACAAACGATGCCCAGAGGATGGAGACAGGGACGGGCAGCTCTGCTCTGTTCCTCCTTCTTGGGCAAGAACAGTCTTGGACCCACATATGGTAGCATAAGCACTGATAGGAGGGAATTACAGGGCAGCTACTGGCTCATCTCACTGAATTTTTACCTGAAATGCCAGTTATCTCCTCCCCACCTGCACCCCCTTATTTGTGAATCTGACTTCCACAGCCCTGGTTTCCCTATTTATAACATGTGACCGACTCGTCCCCTGCTCTCCTCCAGCCAGATCTGAACAGACCAAAGCGCCTGATCACAGAAGTACTGTCTATCACATGAGCCCATCAGGCCCTCTCAAGGTGTCAAGATTGAGGGGGTCGGTGTCAGGTACGTGACCTGGGAAACCATGTGGAAATGGGGTGAGAGCAGCTGTCTCCTGAGAGAAGCAGAGAGGGGAACCTATGCAGCCATGGAGGCACAGGGGAGGGGCCATCTCAGCTGGGTTGTCCAGGTCCCAGTCCCAGCCTCCCCTTGTCCGCTGTGTGGTTTACCCTTAGAGCCCCAAATGCCTGCATCTCCCCTCTGCACAAACTTCTGCACAAATGATTTGATTCCACTTTGTGCAGATAATCCGGGAACAGGCAGTGCCGGTCTCTTGTTGGCCCAGATAAATGCTTTTCTGGGTCTTCAGCTGAGATTGGGGATCCAATTTCTATGTTGCTGCCCAGAATCCTTGAGAAGTGGGGGGTTGGGAGCTGGAATCTGCATAGACCCTGAGCCTTATCAGCAAAACAGATCATAAGCCACCCTGTCATCAGAGAGAGGAAATATATGCCCAGTTTCCTGAAATGGGGAAAAAATACGTCCTGCAAATTCTGCAGATATTTGAGTTCAGTAATGATCCCAGGTAAGATTATAGAACAAATTCTGTATTCCATCTGGAAACAGACAAAAGGGCAAAGAAAACAATGAACATAGATGGTCGGAACTGCTGCTCCATTAAAAAGACTCAATTTGGCTTTTTAAAAAATCATTCATAGGAGACTTGACTTGATGTGGTGAACACACAATGCAATATATAGATGACATATTATAGAATTGTATGCTTGAAACCTATATAATTTTGTTAACCAATATCACCACAATAAATTCTAAAAAATAGAACATAAAAAAAGAAAGGGAAAAAGGCATTCATTGCTGCTTTAGAAAAAGCACACATACCCTGGTCATTAGGAAGATGCAAATTAAAACCACAGTGAGATACCACCTCACACCTGTCAGAATGGCTGCCATCTATAAATCAACAAGTGTCGGTGAGGACCTGGAGAAAAGGGAGCCCTCCTGCACTGTTGGTGGGAGTGTAAATAGGTATAGCTACTGTGGAAAACAGTATGGAGGGTTCTCACGAAATGAAAAAGGGATCTGCCATATGACCGAGCAATTCCACTTCTGGGAATATAATCCCAGAAAGAATTAAAATCACTATTTTGAAGACATAGCTACACCCTGTGCTCATTGCAGCATTATTCAAATTGTCCAAGACACAGAAACAACCTAAATGCCCATCGTGGATGAAAGGATAAAGAAGATGTGGTATGTAGATGAACATCAATGTTTTTCAGCCATAAAAAGGAGGAAATTCTGCTGTTTGTGACAATATGGATGGACTTTGAGGGCATTATGCTAAGTGAAATATGTCAGACAGAGAAAGACAAGTACTCACTTATATGTGGAATACAATCTCACTTATATGTGGAATCTAAAAAAGCCAAAATCATAGAAACAGAGTAGAATAGTGGTTGCCAGGGTCTGGAGGGTAGAGGAAATGAGGAGATGTTGGCCAAAGAATACAAATTTCCATTTACACAGTGAATAATTTCTGGGGATCTAATGTACAGCATGGTAACTATAGTTAAAATATTGTATTTTTACTTGAAAGTTGCTAAGAGAGTAGGTCTTAAATGTTCTCACTATGGATGCGTTAACTGACTTTTTGTGGTGATCATCTCACAGTATATAAGTGTATCAGATCATTACACTTTACACCTTGAAATTACACAATGTTACATGTCAATTATATCCCAATAAAGCTGGAAAACACACATAATGTGAGCAAAAACTGAAAGTAAAAAAAAGATGGACCAAGTGTTGGGTAAGTGCTAACAGGAAGGACAAACATATCAATATCACTTCCAAATCAGAAGCATTCTAAGCAGAGGAGGGAGAGTAAGTCCATGAAGAACCTGTGACAGGAACCTGTAATCACTTAATAAGCATGAGCCTGGCCTGTGGATGACATACCACCAGGCCAGATGGCCGGGGCAGCCCTTACAGCTGCTCCGAGCCTCCCCAAATGCAAAGCCTTTCTCTACATACACACGCACACACATATGCACACACGCACACGCATGCACGAGCTCATTCTCCCCCCAGGTGACCTGTAGGAAGAAGCAGTGCCCTAAATGGCCCTGGTTCCTGTTAAGCCTCCTAGTCACTCTGTGACTGCGGACCTGTCCCTTTCTTTCTCTGGGCCTCAGTTTCCATAACTGTAAAATGAAAAAACGGGTAGGGACGGAAGCTTTAGAAGGTCATCTTGACCCTTGCCCATGGGGTCACAGCAGACCCCAGGCATCAGAGGATCGTGGGGCCAAGGAAACCCATGCCAGGCTGAGAGTCTGCTCAGAGAGCCCAAACCAGAGTGACCGAGGGCCCAAGAACGCGGGGCATTGGGACCAGCCAGGGGCGGTGTGGCTGGGCCTCCTCTCCAGCTAGGCCTGGCCAAGGCTCCCCTTCCCCCCAAGCGGCAACCGGGCTCCCAGGGCAGCCCCTGAATCCTCTCAGAGTGCCTGCCCTTGCTGTCGCCTCCTGACTCTGATGAGATACTGGCAGGTCACAGAAAAGGGCAGTGGCTGTGGGCGAGGCTTTCCTGAGTTAAGCCGAGGTGAGTTCCACGCGGGCCTCAGCTTCTCGGGTGAGACACTCCTCTCTCCCAGCCTCCGTTTCCTCTGCAGAGTGGGGGCCAATCAGAGCTGCTCTCACTGTGTGGATCATAAATGTAAAAAAGATGCAAAGCATCCAGCCTGTACTCGGTGCACGAGGAATAGAACTGCTGTGATGATGATCGCCACTCTCTTCATCGCCAATGTTAGAGGCTTCATGCGTCACGGAGAAGGCTCTAGTCACAGGCACAGGCCATGTGGCCATGGTGACAGAATGACCCAACACAGGCCCTGGGTTTGCTGGCCCTGAGCGTGATCATCAGCGCACCTGAACACTGGCCCCCTGCAGGGTGCGCTCTGAACAGGGCCCCAGGGGCCTCAGCCTGGGCAGGAGCAGCATTTCAGGTCGGGTTATTCTTTGTCTTGGGGGCCTGTCCTGAGCACTGTAGGATGTTTAGCAGCATCGCTGAGTGCCAAAAGCATCCCTCCTAGTTGTGACAACTCAAAATGTCTCCAGACATGACCAAATGTCCCCTGGCAGGTGGGTAGAACTGCCCTGGTTGAGAACACTGCTTGACATGATTAACGCAAGCAATCCACACAAGTTCCTGTTGTCATCACTTCATCTGCAGATGGGAGGGCAGAGGCACACAAACTGAGCAACTTGTTGGAGGTTGCCTGGCAAGTAAATGGCGGGACTGAGCTTTGAACCCAGGACCTCTGGCTCCACAGCCCATGTTCTCACCCACCATGCCGTAAGCATCTCGTGCAACTTCTTTTCCTTAATTGGGACTTTTCCCCTCACTGGTCAGATGCAGCATGTGGTTGAGGAGGGACTGCCACCAGCCTGTACTTGGCCCCAGCTCTGTCTCTCATCAGCTGAGCTCCCTCTCCCTGTCCCATGTGCCACAGGCTGCACCTCCATCACCATGGGAAGAGTCATCCCTGGATGGCTGCAGCCTGGGTTCCAGAAGAAACACTGCAATACAGACCAGAGCCCAACAAGCAGACAGCAAGTTCAACCAGACCCACAGCTTGAAATGGAGCCACCCAACAGAGCCTAGGCCAGATCAGCTAATCCCCAGCTGACCATCAGATACAGGGCAAGAATAATGAGCATTGCTTTGATAAATGATTGCTGTTGAGCTTGGGACCATTTGTTACACAGCAGTAACTGACAGAGACAGTGTATTATTGAACAACCCAAACAGTTCAGCCAGAGGAACAGTGGGCTCACTCTTTCCCACTCACACACATTCCCAGGAGCTGGGTGCACACTCCATGTCCCACCCTATCCCCAACCCCCAGGTGCAATGACTACAATGTGGATGGTGCCCCTTTCGATGTAACAGCCTTATGCAGTGCACAACCTGAGCATCAGTGCACAGCAACCCTGCCACCTATGAAGAAATCCCTATGGGGATGGGGCAGAGGATGGGCAGTAATGAGATAAAGGCAAATTCTGTGTTTACATTTTTCAGTATCATCTTAATTGAGTTCCTAAGATCCCTGGAAAGCAGGAGACAGGACTGGCTCACGTGGATCATGTGCCCACTCCTTGAATTGCTTGATGACACTCAACGCATTTCTTCCACATGGTTGCACTAGAGCTGGTCTCTGGATCACAGAATTTTCAAGCATGACTACTTTGTGTTATAGACAATAAGAATAAAAACATTTGAAGTATAATCTATGTAATTTAGCTTCCTGAATCAGCTCTAAGCCTGAGCCAGGAGACAGAGAAAGGCACGGGTATGGATGTTCCCTGCAGCTGGTCCAGGTGGATGAGAGCCAGAGATGGATGAGACCTGCTGAGCTGAGAAGCTGCATTCTAGGTGTGGAGACCAGGGCCATAGGCCTGTTCTCACCCCT